TTCCCTGGCCCTGGGTGAATCAGCACAAAGAGAACAGAGAGGCTGCAAAAGGATGTGAGGATTATTGAGAGAGACAAAAAGAAAAACAAAAGAATGAGATTGCTGTGACTTGTTAAAGCCCTGTGGATCCCTATCAGTCCAAAGCACAACAGCCAAGCACAGCCAATGCTGATGTTTCTAATCCTGACGCCACGGGCATTTTTAAGACTCAGGTAGATTATTGGGTGGACAACAGCCAGGTGGCGTTCTACACAGGTCAAGACATGAAAAAGAGTCTCTCCATAGTAAGTAATTAAAGAACCAACAGAGCCTGCTGTTTTCATCACTGGGTTATTAGTGTGTAAGGCAATGAAGTTGCAAAATAACCCCAGGACCCAAATCAGCTCCATGGCAGCCATGTGGTAGGTGAAGTTGTCAGAGTGGCTTGCTGTTTCAAAGCCGTGCTTCTTCCACTGCTGGTGACCCAGGTAGAGGATGGAGGTGGAGAGAGGGAGGAGGAGGAGGATGACTCTTGATGCATTGATGGCAATGAACATGTTATAGCTAGCTGTGTAGCTGAAGCAGTCGTCATCAAGTTGATAGCTGGAGGTATGGTTACGTGACATTTGTTCTGTATACTTTGTAGGTCTGAGGAAGCAAAAGTAATTAGAAGGATAAAACAGCAGTGAGATGGAGTGAAGAAGGTTGAAAGAGACAGTCAAGAAATTCTTGAAGAAATTTTACATGTAAAAGAAAATATTTTTAACCATGTAAAACAAAGCAATGCAAAACAGACAAAAAGAGAAAAGGGTCGCAGTGCTTTTACAATTTTGGTACTGACTACATCCAATTTTATTTTCATTTCCTGTCATTATTCTTTTCAAGCTCCTTAGAAAAGTGAAGCTTAGTTTTTCTTTTTTTATTGTACAAAAATGAATAAATTGCATTTTGAAAATATTTACTATGTTATGAAATTCTCACCTCAGTTATGGTGTTTCCTCCTATGTGTAATTCACCAACTCAACAGTCTGTTGTTCAGTCCAAATGTGGACTGATGCTGTTTCTGCCTGCTTTAATGTTTATGTGTCACAGCAGCTGGATAGCAGTGGGCTTTTGTAAATTTCCGTTTCAAATCATTTGGGATCCTATGCGTCAGAATGCAATGCGTACTGAATTGCTGACGGTCATGCTAGCAGCAACTGACTATGTTGACTTTGTAGAGGATTAATGTAATTTTTGCGCAAACTAACTGAGTAGGTAAATTTGGTTTTGAGCTAATTTTACAATACCTAAACATACTGTTTATGAATGCTGAATAATAGGCCTTTGTATTGTAAGTGCCTTGACTGAGCATAATTGACATATTTCCATACCAGTCGCTACGCTTCTTTCTAGCAATCCATTATATCTGACAGGATTCAAATAACCTGCAATCAAAGGGAGGTGTGTGTTCTGGTTAAACAATGTCATGCAGGCACATAGTGCATGGAGCTGGTTGGAGCCAGTCATTTATGTGTTTCATAATTTTAGGATGCACAACAACTGCAATCTTTAGCTGGGCAACACCTAAAAATTGTCTTATAATTGTTGATTTTTTCACAATTTGCTCATGCATAACTCATGCGCTCACTGCTGTCTCTCCTGCACATGCTGATATAGCGTGTATTCTAAGTTGTATACAAATTTAAACAGCCTTTTGTCAGTTAAGATGGTTTTTATTTCATTTATATACATCTCATTATATACATTTCATTTATATATGCATCTTATATTTTTATTGTATTTCTTTTCTTGAACTTTGTGCAGCTCTATATAAGTGTTTCTATTGTTTTTAAAATATCGTTTATTATATTTACCTACTTTATGTGTGGTTCTTTTTTGTGTTTGGCATTTTTGCTGAGAGCAAAGGAAATTAGTCATTTTACAGGAAAACACGTTTCTTTATATTGCACATGACACTAAAACATTGATAATAAAAGACAAAAAATGCATTACTCTGTTGGTGGAGCTAGTTCAAGAACTAGTACTTAATGAATCTTTTAATGTAATCTCACAAACATTACATCAAAAGCGGGTGATGTTGGCTTTATTTAAATAGTGCTTTTTACAGGTGTTTACCTGACAAGTCAGTTTTTTCTGCTTGGATGAAGTGATGGGCAGGGTGTGCACAAACAAAACACAAACTTACAAATATAAAACATCATTACATTATAATAATTCATTGCATCATGAGGTATCCACATTACATGGACAACATTTGAATACAGTATTCAAATCTAATGGACATTCAGCCTGGGCACCAACTGTTTGCTCTGTGCTTGTATAATACAACCTTGTGCTGAGGACCATTTTAAACCATCATGGCGATTACATATCTGACACATTTGCTCTATGAAGCCATTTTAACCCTCTGGGGTCCAGGGTATAATTGGCCGTTTTTGACTACTTTTGATTTTACCTCTATATTTCACCTTTAAAATATGTTTTCCTTGCCTTGTTTGGTATCATTATTTTCAGCACAACCTCAAATATCTGAAATTTGAGCTATTTTTTCATTTTAGTATACTATATTAGCACAGTTGATCTAAATTCAGACAAAAAATTCAAAACCAGAGTAGAAAAAAGTTATATTTTTTACTGTAAAACCCACAAACATGCTTAACGAATCATTTTCATAACTTGAAATGCAAAAATAAATTGTACATTTCTAAAATTTATGCACAAGTTTTGCAAACAACAAAGTTATCAGGTACTATTTACCTGAAAATGCAGCCAAGGCCTCAGGCGTTTTTTATATAACCATTTAAATCTATTTACAGAACAATCAGGTGTTCTGCACCAAATTAGAAGGCACACAAATTATTTGTGCCAGTCCAAAAAATGTAGTTTGTGTTCAGTATAAGACAGAGGAGAACAGCACAGGCCTAAACCCTGCAGGTCTGACAGCAGGAGGTGCATCAGTCCAGTTTTCCATGTGGGAACAGTGTTTACACTGGAATCTGCCTTTGATGGCTTTTTTAGAGCAAATATGAAATTCAGCAGTATAACTGACACACAATACAAGACAATAACTACACAACACACTAACTTTAGCCTCCAAACACGCTATACGTCACTAATGTCTCACATATGAAAACTCGCTCTCTCTCTCTTTCTTTCGCCACCCGCTTTCCATCATGGGTGTCACTCCTAAAAACTTCCCCTTCTCCCTAAACAACCAAATGTCACATGTTTGCCATATCATTTTTTTGATAGGCTGACATGGTAAACTCTAACACCAATAGGGAAGGGGTGTTTTTTCTTTTTCTTATTTCACTCGCAAGCGGAGAGTGTTTGCTAGCGCTGTCTGTAGAAAACACAGTTTTTACCGTTCTTCCCGCTGTAAACACCACTGTTTTGTTCAGAAAAAAACATAGTGTGTATTTTTATCATAACTCTGGTTTTACGTGGCCCATCGACACAATTCAAAAACTGTTGAAATGGAGACTCGCTGCATCTTGTAGCTGTGTCGTCTTAAATTGGTCATGTGATTTTGACGTGCCGTCAGTTAACCCCAGAAGGTTAACTGGATACTTTAAAGGGTTTCAGGGTTAAACGTTTGCGTTTATCAGGACTGTAAACCTATCTTAACAAATACAGCCATAAAAAAAGCTCCAAACAACCTAAGACAAACTGTCTTAATATCACCCTAACTTAACGACGCACTGATTTATATATGAACTAAAACGGCGTGAAGTATAAGCATAACTAGGACATAGTAGTGATGTGACGGTCGCGAACGAAATGGCTCTTGGAGCCGACTCTTTAAAGTGAATGACGCGAGTCGGCTCTGTGTTTTTTTTTCCCTTTCTCTCACCCTCTCTCTCGCACGTTTTTTCCACTTCACTCCGCACGCGAGCGTTGTCCTTTGCGGTAGTTCAGGAACAGAGCAGGAGGGAAAGAGAGAGAGAAAGAGAGCCAGGGACAACAACGTCACATTAGAAAGGTAAGTAGGCCTATTAAATATTTTTCTATTGATTTATAAAGACATTCAAATCAAGCCATTCATTTATTAAGTCACCATCAGTGATGATCCTAAACTTAGCCCTAAACTGTAAAGTTATGTTTTTGAGCCAAGCACAATGTCCTTGGTTTTAAATGATGATGCTATTCACCGCCGCTTAACAGGCATTAACCCTCTCAGGCTCAAATTAAGTTTTAGTTGCTAATGCACAACCACGTCCTGCAGTGGTACTTCTGAGTAAAAAAAACTCATAAAATATGTATGTGGGGTAATTCGGCAACGCCTGCCTCGAGAGGGTTAAAATGCTAAAGGTAGGCTTCTACAAAGGATGGCGTAATGTTTTTCTCTGACTGAAACTCATTAGATTTCAGTCGGAAATTAGCACAATGCATGTAGGTCCTCTTTAATAATGAAATGATATTAATCCTTCAAAATACCTTTTTTCCCCCAGAATAACCAGGTTGTCCTTCTTAACTTGAAACAGCTCAGTGAACAACTATTAATTTTACCACCAGTTAAACTGTACTGACTAATGTTTCTGGTTTATTGGTTTTCTAAGTAAAGTACTTTCAGCCATGCAGCACAAAGTAAGTGCTCCATTGTCCAGGTACTATTGTTATGAGTAACCATAACAAGAACTAAGTTATTCCTCCTTATCTGTCAACCTTTCAATTTAGGAGGTGCCACAATGGCGTATCTGCCACCATATCTTCTAAATACACTAAATAACCAGTTTTTTCTTAAGTCATTTAACTGGGCAGTCAATAATGCGTAGTTACATGCGTTTGCTGCCTTCACTTATTTCAGCAACACAAGAGTTTCCTTTCCCTTTTAAGGTAAAGCATAAATAACACCAAAGAGCTGGGCAGGTTAAAAAAGACTGCACTCTTTTCCACCATACACTTGATAGAGTTACTCAGGAGAGGTGACTCGCTCAGTGCTTTGGTAACAAGGAGTCCAACAAACCACAACCACACAGTGCAGGTTATAGCTATGATGGTGAAGAAAGCTCTCAGCTTTAATCGGTCAACACGCTGGTTTTCCCCACCTTCTTTTCCAGGTCCTGGGTGAATCAGAACACACAGAACAGAAAGGCTACAGAAAAATGTGATCATGATCACTAGAGCCAAAACAAAGAATAATGGGACAAGCCTGTTAGAGGTTAAAGTTTGATGCACTCCTATCAGTCCAAAGCAAAACAGCCAAACACAACCAACACTGATGTTTCTGATCCTGACCCCATGGACATTTTTAAAATGTAAGTAGGAGATGGGGTGAACAACAGCCAGGTAGCACTCTAAACAGCTCAGGATATGAAAACCCATCTCTGCATACAAACCAGTGTGGGAAGCAATGGATCCTACTGTAAACATAGCTGAGTGATTATTGTATGTTCCATCAAAGGTACAGAAGCATCCAGCTACCCAGATCAGCTCTGTAGCAGCCATGTTGTAGGCGAAGATGTCAGAGTGGCTTGCTGTTTGAAAGGAATGCTGCTGCCGCCATTGCTGGTAACCCAGGTAGAGGACAAGTGTGGAGACAGGGAGGAGAAAGATGGCTCTCATTGCACTGATGGCAGTGAACATGTTTGAGCTAGCTGTATGGTTGAAGCAGTCGTACTCCAGAAAAAAGTTGAAGGTGGAGTTCACTGACATGTTGTCTGTTTTCTGTAGGTCTTAGGACCAAAACTCAAAATTTAAGAGATAAATACAATAGGCAGGGAGGATTATTGTTATGTCTTATCAGTCCAAACTAGTTGTTGTTGGTTTTATTTAAGGGCAGCACGGTGGTGCAGTGGTTAGCACTGCTGCCTCACAGCAATCTGGTTGGGCTTTTCTGTGTGGAGTTTGCATGTTCTCCTCATGTTCTCTCCAGGTACTCTGACTTTCTCCCACAGTCCAAAGACATGCATGGTGTACCTTGCCTCTCGCCCTCTGATAGCTGGGACAGGTTCCAGCCCCCGTGACCCTGATAAGGAAGAGAATGGATGGATGGTTTAATTTAATATGCCTACATTTAAGGTAGGATGAGGAAAAACAATGAAGAAACCAATTAAGGATGTAAAAAGATTGACCTTTGTGCTTCTGAAAAGCAATGCAGTCATGAACATCGCCTCAACATGCAAACTTTCTAATGCTCTATGGGAAACATTTCTGACTGTCTTGCTCTGTGGCTTCAGAAATAATTTTGCCGTTAACTTTGTTGTCTCAGTTTCTACTTTCTAGTCTTTTTGAACCCTGTATGGATTTAAGACATGCTTAATAATTTATAAATAATTTTCATGTTACATTTCATGTTACATTGCAAATATTTTGTTTTATGGTATCGTGTCTTGAATTAAATTTGATTTGTAATCACCATAATATACGATGACCCTAACTCCTCTCATTAGAGTTTTTCTTTTCTTCTCCTTATTTATTCTTATTAAGACTCACATGAAATGTCATGAAATGTACTTATAATGAGGGCGAGAAGCTACAACAACACCAGACAAAGTAAGAGAAGGACCCAGGAGACCCCAAGAGTCCAGAAGCCCTTAGGCCATACATCCTGATCACAATTACTTGCCCACCCCAGCAGAAAAAGGACAGAGGCAAGGCACAGGCAGGACAGGAAAATTAACCCAACAAGAGGCTGGCATTAAAGGCAGGGCCAGTCTTGGCAAACAGGAAGGGAGACGTCTGGAAGTTTTGGCAGAAAAGCTAACAATGAGGTTGTGTTTGGCAGCCCAGAAACAGACAAGGGAACACCAGATGTGTCCTTGTATCACATGTATCACCAACAGACCCATGCTTGAGAATAACATCAACCTTGGTACCATGGCACGTGTGTTTCCCCAGCTCTTGTAGAATCATAACATAATAGTCTGAAGTTACAATACTGTGAATTGTAGCATCCATAAAGCCCTCAAGTTTGATTAATGATTATTTATGATTTCATTCATCCTTCATAATTCATAATGTTTTTTTGTTAAGTCTAAAGAGTAATTGTTTTGCAGCCCTGTTAGTCACAGCATTAAAATTTCATTTGTAGATAATAGAAAGCAATATTTCAGGGTTAATTATTACTCAGATAGACCTACTATGACCCCAAAAACAAAACTACAGTATATGTGCAAAAAGGTAAGATGTATGTAGTATATGCACGATAGAGGCAGGTGCTTACATGTATTTTAATAAACATATGTAACATTACCACTGTACTGGAATGATGGTGTAATGAAATCAGTCATTTAAATAGTTAAATGATAGCATATAATGAATGAAAAAGACTGACCTTGTCTGTAGTGCCCCTCGGGAGTGCCCTCTTGCCCTTTAGTCAGTCACTCCAAATGCACACTGATGCTTGAGCGGGTGTTGATTATGCTCACAGTCACAGGACTGCATAATATTTTTGCATGAAGCAACAGAGTGATTTATGACCTCATTATTCTACATCTAATAAAAACTATTTTCTATTTTTCTATTTAACTATTTTTAAATCAGTGCTTTACTTATGCACCAAAACAGCCATGAGTATTTGTGTGTAATTAGTTTATAGCTATTGTTCACTTTATGACAACAGAAAGAAAATATGCCCCAAGTGTCAACAATCATAAAAAGTACAGTTACTTATTCTATTTTTTATGCCTCAGCATATAGTAGTAATATCCTGAACATCATGAACATGTTTCCGTACAGGTAACAGGACTGAAATAACTATAAGCAGAATCTCTACATCTCCTTTAATTAAAGCATCATTGCAATGAAATATGATTGTAGCTCATAGAGCAGTAACATTCATTTTACAAGTGTTCATTTTACAAGTGACTCACAAGTGTAGACTTGAGCAACAATGGTGGTATATATTTACATGTCTTTCCTTTTAAAAATGCTAACAAAAATGTCAATCTTGCTGGCTAATATCACTACCAAAAACGTATCTGAAGTCACAGTCTCAATACAATTTTGTCCTAATGTCGATTTTATGCTGATAGCTGATGGGTTGTTTATTTACTCCATTTGTAAACTACTGTTAGCTAAAGTTGCTCACTGTAGATGTAGAAACAAATAAATCAAATAAAAATGATATAGATAAATAAGATAAATAAATAAAAAAGTTTAAAATACGGGACCTTGATATAGAAGTAAATCAAATGGCCTCTCTTTGTAGGTATATCAATAATAATAATAATAATAATAATAATAATAATAATAATAATAATAATATCATAAAGACCACCATCCATCAAGAGCATTTTATTTCTTTTTCACTCACATTCTCTTTTGGGTTTTTCAACTTTCCAACGCTCTAAACAACTGAGAAAGTACCAGTTAGATGGGAATGACTTGTTTGTTGCATTTAAGATAAATTAGCCATCAGGTCTACCACCATGCACCATGTTAGTTGCTACTACTGTAAGTACTCATATATACAGTAAATGCCATCCTTTTATCTAAATTTGAGGATATAATGCATAGTTACACAGAAAAGCTGCAGCAGTCATGGCCTTTCATTATCTGGGAAGGTTCTCAGTTATCCAGGTCTCAGTCTCAGGAAAGAAAAGCATCTGGGCTTATTTAAGTTGGCCTTTCATTCTTAAATCAAAATAGTACTCTGTACTGAAATATGTATACCACAGATGACTAATTTTACACAAACAATAATGACCAAAAACTTTATGAATGTCACAGATTTTGTCTTTCCTACTATGATAACTCAGTTTTTATTTAGATTAGTTTGTTTTTCATTTTTCTAGTCAGTAGAGAAAAACAATGATAAACTCGAAATGATCACCCAAAAATGTAAGAAAAGCAGAACTTTTCACATCTGTGTTTAATTCAATCACGAGGATATGAGAATACGTAATGATTTTGCAATCATTATCATTATTATTGTTATTATTATTATTACTTATTGATTTACTTTATTTCTATATCAGTAGCTCTACATAAACCCACCAATTCATTACATTTAACAGGATTCAGGTAACCCATAAATAACAACAGGTGTTCATTTTAATACAGCAATACACACAGTTCACAGAGCATTGTCTCCAATACCTGATTCACAACCTGAGCTGTCATTGTTATTAGCAATGTGAGAAATACATTCAATCACTTTTAGTAGTGAATAATAAGTATACAAATTAAGACTTGAATCACAAAGTATGTTAATTTGGTATCTTTGAATGGAAGAATGACATATTTAGTATACAACAAAGTGTGGATATGGCTGTTGGGAGTGCCAGTTTAACAATCATTACCAGTTTAAGGAACAGGACCAGTTGAAACAACGTTGTGAAGACATATCTGAACTGCGAGGACAGTTTGATTGAGCCTAACTACTGTAAATGCTTGATTGTTACAATGTTAAGGTGAGAAATAAGCGAACTGATAAACATCTAAAACTGTGCTGTCAAATGCACAATATGCAACTGCAAATGGCTCTACTATCCTAGATGTTCTACAGAAACCTCACTCTGACTAAACAACACATGGATATTTATTAAACAAAGGTGCTGTATATAATATAAGATCAGTTACTACACAAACACCTTAGAAAAGGTCTCTGCAGTTTAAAACTTTCATTGTTACATGTTTGTTTTTTTTCCAGATAATTTTTTTTGATTCTTAATATTCTTCTAGCTGACCAAATGTTAAGTTTTATGTGATTCCATTCATGACTGTTTACACTTTTTTTGTCAACAGTTTCTTAATGCTGTTGAAGTTAAGCGAGTGCCTCCTTTTCAAAATAGTTTTAATGGACACCCTTTGTGTCTTCTATATTTTTTCTTTGTTTTATGCTAATGTCAATATTAACCTAAGCTGCCATCCCAGTTATTTTTTGCAACTTATGTTGCTCAAATAATTAGCTTGAAATGATAGAAGGGTAAGTGTTGAACTGCTAGAGATTAAAAAAGGTTACCTACACCCGTAAAAATAATGTACATTTCAGAATTATACAAAAATCCTTTAAGGGAACACAAAATTGGTTAATAGTTTAAAGCTTTTCTGCAGCAAGTTGTTCAAGCCTTGAAAGCTGGTGCTACTAATTCCTGGTGTTCCAATTTTTCAAGATTACTTCTGTCTGTATAAAAGAAGTGCTGAAACACACTGTGGTATCATACCTTCGGAATATGAAGAGGTCTGGCAGACTAAAGACACAGCTGAATCAGAGGACATTTTCTGAAAGTTAACAGCTTGTTTTGTCCTAATAACGGTAAAACAGCTTCAAGCTCAAAGTAATAGTGGTCATAGTAAGCAGGTCTCAGTTTCAACTTTGAAGAGAAGACTTCGAGCTGTTTGACAGGATGAGATGCAGCAAGAAAGCCATTGCTAAGATGTTAGAATAAGACAAAGAGGCTTGCCTGAGGTATGAAACACCACCAGACTGGAAGAAGGTATTACAGATTGATGAATCAAAAATTGAAATCTTCGGTTCATCACACAGGGTTTTTGTGACGGTATCACAGTGTTTGGCAGCTGATATATTCAAACCCAATCCTTCTTTTCACTTATTGTTAAAACAGACCCATGAAAGTTTTCTTTCCTTGTATAGATACAGCAGAGGTAACACCAAACAGCTGGGGAGGTTAAACCAAGCTGTACTCAGTAACAGTACATACTTGACATTAATGCTCAATAAAGGTGACATGCTAATGGCAATGGAAATAAGATGCCCAGCAAACCACAACCACACAGCACAGGTTATAGTTGCAATTGTATAGAAAGCTCTCTGTTTTATTTGGTGAACGTGGTCTTTTTGGTTGCCTCCTTCCCCTGGCCCTGGGCGAATCAAAGCACAGAGAACAGAGACACTGCAGAAAGATAGAGTTATTACAGAGAGAACCAAAAGGCAGAGCTCTTGGATGTAGTTGTTGTTAGGGGTTAATAGAGCATCAGCACCTATCAGTCCAAAGCACAGAAGCCAAACGCAACCAATGGTGATGTTTCTGATCCTGACACCACGGGGAGTTCTTAAACCCA